AGACGAAAAATAAGAATATTATAAATTTTTGGAAAATGGGCGTAGCCACGCCCACTTATGGATACATGTGTATATCTTGGTAACCGCTGAACCACTTTCTTCCACACTTGGCACAGTTGTTAGTCTTGCTTTAGCATACCAAATGGCCGAAAATTTTTAAAATCGGACAATAACCACGCCTACCTACCATATAACGGTAATTTGGAGAAATACGAAATCTTCGATAAATAAAAAAAAATTAAAGCTAATTTACTCAAAATTTATGCTTGCAGCAATTCTTTACCAAGAAATACGTTTATGATAAAATTTTATTATTTTTTATTTTATGATCACATATATGTATCTCGGTAACCGTTCTACGAATTTGTACCAAACTCGGTATGATTATTGTGCTTGCCACATAGAAGCAAAACGTTGAAAGTTATTGGAATCAGATTCAAATTACGACCACTTTTCATATAACGGCAAATTTCAGAAATGCTTGAAACTTCAATATTTCGAAATTTAAGGACGCTAATTTACTCAAAATTGATACACACCGGCTTACCGTGTAGCGGTAGCTTTCGCAAAGGTGAAAATCATATACTTAGTACCTGCGCCGTGTATTTAATGTTCGGCTCCGCCCGAACTTAGACTTTCTTACTTGTTAATACTCATTTAGTGTTAAACCTTTTTTGATTTGGCATTCGTTTTTTTCAATCTTGCTATGAATATGTTGATGTGTGAATTCATAACTGCTTTGAGTGAATGGAACTTTTAAATATTATAAACCTCAATCTTAAACGAGGAATAAGTAATTAAAGTTGAATAGAAAATAATTGTTGATTTAAAATTGAAAATGATTTCACACTTACACAGCTCTGCTAATGGTTATAGTTTTGTTTGTTTGTATATATCACGGTACCCTGGAAACAATTTCAACCCTAAAGTTGCTTCCCCTCGCCAATTGCTGTTGCTACTATTTCGGGGGACCTCACTGAACATTTTCCAAAAAAAGAGCTAAATCCGTCGGGCGCTTTTCTTCTATGGTAACTTTTACTAATTCAAATATTACACAGGCCAACAAAATTTGGAAAAAATTTTGCTTCCTAAAATGTTAAAACTGTTTCTGATAGATTCTTTTGTGCTGATTACGAATCTGTATGTATAAAGTTTCCATCATCTTTAGGTTTTGAGAAAAACGTGGTCAAAGTATCAAAAAATCACGTTTTTTGCAATATTTGAGAAGCTCTAGCAAAAAAACATAAGGTTATAGAACCTTCAACTTGGACTTAGATTAAGGCTAGGACTCTCAACTACTATCCCTGAAAAAAACCATTTGTTCACCTTGACTTGGTGGTCACTTATAGTCATTTTTTGAATAGCAAAAACTGATTTTGCCGAAGTGGCTTTCGAGGCCCAGCAATTATGGCGGCCCTATCGGAGTATGCATATTTTAGTGCCAATGTTTGGTTTCTCTAAGTTCTTAAGCTTTTTAAAATAACTCAATACGTGAAACCACAGATACATTTTTAACTAGGCAAGTATGTATATATCAATCCTTACCTCGCCATAACCGGTGACTTGTAGATGTCGTTTCGTCAGGGGCGCCTGCTCACCGTGCGAGTGTAAATTTCTCTTCGTGGCGACGTGCTCGAGTCTTATAAGATCTCCGTTCATAACATATTTTACTTCAGCAAATGAGTCTCTATTGTATGGCTTTATGAGCCATTTATTGTTGTCATCTTTATGCGTATATGTTGTGATCTGTTAATAAGAGAAACTCGTAAAATTGTAGTTAGTTTTTTAATCGGTGCTCCTGATATCAAACAAGAGAAAAATTCGACAGCAGAAATTGCATACATATCGCACACGATTTTCAAAAGTGACACAACTCAAAATTTATCATTTTTGAAATTACGCGCTAAAAATGCCCACACAGCTTTTATTTACCTTTCAGCAAAAGCTGCAGGCCGCCTACGCAAAAAAAAAGTTGGACGCACAAATACTTTTTGATGTGTATACATCTTTGGTGTCGGTAGGGGTAAAATTTGCGAAGCTGTAACGCATAGTCCAACAGAAAATTTCGTAGGACTTACCATGTGTATTGCAGCAGAAAATTTTTAACTTCCTACTTGCTATTGCAAATGGTTGCATACATTTAGGCATATGCAGAGTAAGAGGAAATGCGGTATAAGATTATTACTTCCGATTATGCAAACTCTGCGCATGCATAGGGCATTGTACATATAGTTTTTTTTATTTATTTATTTCTTTATTTGTCTATGACATTTACAATTCTTACAGACTACAAAATGAAAAACAGGCAATAATAAAATTATTAAGGGTACATTTACATGGATAACTTGATATGAAACTCTCTCATTTTTTCACACCCAGGAACTCGTTTTCGTACTTGGCAGCACTGCCAATCCCTGGGCAGATAAACAGCTGACACGCGAAGTGGCATGCTACCACTAGATGTGTGGAAAATGCATCACATGGAATTCAGTGGATTTTTTCTTCCCGCATTTTTTAATATTACTATAAAACACTATTTGTAACTAAACGCGATTTTACTGGCAATATAAACACTGAAATATAAAATAGATATGAAAAATATTGCAACTTTTGTTCGTTGTGTTTAATCAAAAGTTTCTCCATAAATTTCTCTATAAATGCCCATACATGTTTTCTTCACAGTGGCTCTACTGGAGAATGTTATAAAAAATACACATTTTGACAGCGCTCTCACGAGAAAAAGACTTTCATATC